CAGCAAGGGTCAGCCGGACCAGCCAGCGAGGGGACTTGGGGGCTGGGAGCGGGATGCGAGGGAGGAGGCGGCTGCCAGGGGGACCAGGGGAGTCCCATCCAGCTGCTGAAGAGGTCCCTGGGGGTGAGACCACCACAGGGGAGTTGGCTACGGGGGGACCCGGGGGACTGGAGAGATGGATCAAGGGACAGCTACTGGGCAGACTGCCTGAGCCCAGCTGCTGGAGGGAGCTACACTGTGCATAGATGTGTGCATATATATATATATATATATATACACACACACACACTCATACACTCACTCGCACATCTCCATCCTGCTCAGCCAGAGAGGGGGGTGGGATGAGGCCGCTGGCGCTGTGTTCATGTGAGTGTTCTGTGTGGCTGGCCCTGCGAGCTGCGTGGCCATCCGTGTGTGTATGTTTAAGTGTATTTGTGCACATGCCTGCTGGGATTACAAGCTCAGCCTGGCTGCTGCTTGGACCTGGGGGCACAGAGCTGTGGCAGCCTTGTCTCTCTCAGGCTACCAGATCTGGCCCGATTTTCCCATATCAATAGATATATTTGTGTACATATCATATTCATACATATACATATATGATGCACATATCATATACATAGGTGTATTTCATACGGCTTCTATATAGCACAGCATATCTACCGATAGAATTGAGATAGGAGAGATTAAAGCAGACAGGCAACAACTTTTTCCCAAGGCATTTGCACAAAAAAAAATAAGTAACAGTTACACTTTTCTTTCAGAGATTTCATGTTTCTCGCACCCTACCAGTAAGCATGTCTGTACTGCAGCAGGAGGTCTGGCTGCAGCAGCAGAGATCTGCAAGTTCTCCTGTTTTTGCTGAGAGTCTGGTTTCAGGTGCAGCTGAGCGAACACAACGGTGTGCAGCAGGTAGAATGATGAACTCCTGTTTCCTGTCGCCTTCGCTCTTCTGCTCCCTTCTCTCCACCATGTATGCATTTTCAGGCACAGTGAACAATGTTAATTCTGTGTGTCTTGTGATACCCTGCCCTGAAAGGCCACCGCAGATGACACCTTTTTGGAGTACAGCCATCACCCGCAGGCAAGGATTTGCAAAACCTGGGGGCTTGTGTTACGTGAGGCTGCGAAGCAGAGTACCAGAGTGAGGCAGGCCCAGGGCAGGCTGTTTGGGTCTGCGTGATCACCGACCAACACATGGAAGCAGTAAAAAGTGCCACAGGAGTTCAGACTGTCTGGAAACACGGAGATCAAAAACCAGTCTGACATCAGGTGCCAGTAAAAGTAAGACGGAACAGAAGGTAGCTTCATTTCTGACAACAGCTAATTCTGAAGCCCTAAGTATTTTAGTAATCTGGATTCATTCAGATGGAGGGAGTTTACTCCTAATCCAGTAATACAGAATTTTGAGAAACTTCATACAAAAGTGAGGCACACAAGCAGCATGTTTAATTTAAACACAGTCTAAAAAGATAACAACAACATTGAAGGCTGAAGAATGACCCTGAACCGGGGAGGGTGAGGGGTGGAAGTGGACGGGTTAAACAGGTCAGTGATCATGTTGTGATTGGTGAAATTCAGGTTCAGGCATACTACCACTGCCCCCTGTTTTCCCCAGTGCAATGGAATGACAGAAAATGGTATCGTGATAATGCAGCCCTTTCTAAAAAAGGCCACAGAGCCAGACTGCTAACCATATTTAGCACTACTAAATCACCATTGGCACCAGCAAGCCTTGGTTGTCACCTACTGACATTTTGTTCAGCCCTAAAAATGAAAACACAGTTGCCTGCAGTTTTTCAAACGATGAGAGCCACTGGGGACTCGCAGATAGGGAAAAAAAAAGGCAAAGCAAGAAGTTCATCGTGACTCAGGACCTCAGAGCCGCCACTGCCAAAAGATGTCGTTCTGTGTTTCTGAGGTGGTGAAAAGTGGTCGCGTACAGGCAGCAGGATCGCAGCAGGTGTCTTTGCAGCCAGATAGGGTGAGCACCCACCAAGGAGAAGCAGTGCCTGCTCCATCTGCACCCCTGAACCTCACTGACACATAGTAGTACCCGTATGTCCGTACTCACCGTGAGTGTGAAATGCTCACCATGAAACTCACCACGAAACTCACCATGAAATGCTTTAATTGGTCCACACTGACAGTAAAACATGACTGCTCTCCTTTGCTCCTTTGCTTCCTCAGGTTTGGCTGAGGAAGGGTGATGCTGGGAGCTGCACCCTTCAGGCTTCCTCCCGGCAGCTGTACAGTGGAGGGGCTGGAGATGGGGAGTCTCCTCGA